CCCCCCCCCCTTCCCCCCAAGTCCGAAGGTGCCCGTACCCCTATGCGTTTATTTTTATGACGAAATTCGTTTCGCGGCGGACATTTTTTCCTCCCTGAACAGGGCTGAAATTAATTTCCTTTACGAACTGGACACTAAATTTTTCACACTAGGTTGAATTTTCCGTGTTTTTTTTAAACAGAGTTCTGACCAGTTCTTGCTCCAACTGGATCGTTTTCATTTCATGTAGAAGAGTCTCTGAACGAGCTCAAAACGCTCTCTCAGAGCAAGTGGGCAAGACGCCCGCGGTCACTATGTCGTATGCGTGAATCACAAGTCAAAATGGAAAGAATTTCTAATTGGAGGGATCCCTGTTGATTCGATTTCTCCATCTCCCCACCCTCCCACACCATTATCCTACTTCTGCCATTCACCAGTGACAACCGGGACTGCCGAGTGGACAGACACTGAGTCTGTGAGACAAAGACCGAGCTGTGACACTTGTTGGAAAGGGGGCAGCTGGGAGGGAGGGGAGAGAAAGGCGGATGAATCACGATTTTCTTAGAATTGTTGCCAGGCAATGTAGGCGAAAATTTGTAACTCTTAAAATTTTAGCTATAACATTTTGTAAGCGCATGCTCTTCCATGCATTTGTGAAGGGGACGAAACACCAGGCTTCTTTCTCTATTGTTTCCTATGAGGAGGCGGCATGGCGGAGTGGCTTAGGGCGCTGGATTTGACATCTGAAGGTCCCTGGTTCCTCCACCCTATCTCTATCTGGATTAGCCCACGGTAGTACTGACCTCAACTGTGAATACCTAACTAGTCAGCCTCCCATCGGTTGGGATTGCTAATAGTTTATGGTCTATTTACAATGTTTGTTTATTTATTTAGTGTCCCCAATTAGCACAACAGTGCTAAATACATTTTTTAGGTGGTTTGAATTTGTAAATCAAACTGATAGAATTGTTTGACACAAGTATGAGTACTCTGGGTCGTGCTTTTAGTAAGCCTCAATCTTTCAGCAAAACGAAAAAAGTCCTCACATTGGAAACCTTACAAAGCAGTCATAACTTGCCAGCACTACCATACTGGAGTACACAGTACGCAAGTACTCCCCCCCTCCCCATCCTCTGGGGTGCTCCTCATAGCAAGGTGACCGTTGAAGTTGTAATGCTGCTACTGCTGCCAGGGTGCTCTAGCCTAACTATTAGGGTGACATGTTCAAATGGTGAAAACATTTTAACCCAAGTCCTCTGTCATGGTTAGCAGTTGTAAAATGAATCATGTTCAGTTTGTTATTGTAAGAAAGGTCCAAAATAGGCAAAGGGAGTCAAATCAGAGGGGGAAGAACAATGTAAATCTTTAGCTGGGGGTGTGCTGCTGAGACACTGAAACCCTAACCTTATACTAGATCACGATCAGCTCGAGTTTGCAACCCTATTCTAGACTAGGCACCAAAAACTCTTACCCTAACCTAGACTAGCTATTTCCCATCCAGAAACACTGTCACTATCGTAGTCCAACGTACACTAACTAAACCCAATATCTTACAAAGTTACTTCCGAGTTTCAATTTCTATTTCTGTTTGTTAAATTGTTTGTTTGTTAGTTAGCTGATTGCTCTAACCTCTGAGGAAACCACAGGAGGTAGGCTGTTACTGTGCCAACATAAAGTGTATTGTCTGGCTTTTATTTGTGTGATCAACAACTCCCCATTTGAGCAACCAAATGATCAATTTATTTAAAAATTTTAACATCATTTAACTTATTTTCTTGCACTGTGTAATGAGATGACAAATGAAATGTGAAACATCACATCACAAGATAAGAACAAGACTTTTAACAGACGATTGTCTTCATCTGTCATTGAGCAGCTCATCACTGGATACACTGGTTGATCCTAAAAATAAATAATAAAAGCAAAAATTATTTGATGTAGCTGCAAGTTGTTGATGTTATTGCCTTGATGTATCAACAAATTCTTTGGAATTACATATGAAAGTAATATAAGGCAATTTGTAAAGAGAAAATCCATTTTAATCTGGATTTCCTATCCTGACAGACTGGTCTCTTATCACTAATCCAATGTAAGAACTCTGCTGGTGGTATTGCACCACTTTTCCACTTTGGAAATTTTTAAGTTAATCTGGGCAAGTATTTCTTAGCTACCACCCCATAAATACTATTCTGTGCAAAAGTTGTCTAGGATCCACTTATGGGAGGCCCCACTGTGTTGGATAAGGTTTTCTGTGTTGCGTTCTTAGGCATTGAAGACACGATACTGTACTATGTTGCTCTACACCCAGAAGTATCATTAAGGTGATTCCCTAGTAAAAGAACTCTGCCGTAGATTTCTGATGAAACTTGGTATGCTGTTGTTACAGGACAAGGAGATATTAAAAACGTAATAAAAAGAGGGGGTCACCGTGCTTGTTTTCACGCCACAATGCTGACAAATACAGTTATTTGGGTGACTTTTGGTAACCTCCGTGTGCAACAAAATTAATAAGCTTGATTGTTTTTCAATGCAGCGTGTTATGTCACACAGAGTTTGACTTTCGTTGATTGTTTATTCATCTATGTCCCAGAAAAAATGTCTTTAAATACCCTGCATTTTTTCTCCTTTAAAGGAAACATAATTTGGACATGCACTGTTGCACCCATTATGTCTCCCTCTGTAGTATTTATTTCATTTGCCAAAAAAGTAGCCATAAATTTCGGCCAATTTTTCTCTTAGTAATTGAGGTTTTTTTTCTCATTGAAATTATGAAATAAAAAGTGGGGGTCACCTTGCTCATTTAAGAGTAAAGGAGCATTTACTTCGCTATCGAGCTTAGTTTGAGGGAAATCTCTTACATTTTGTACGCGCACACGGTCATGTGCGTGCGCTAATGACGCGAAAATCATGCCCAGTAGGGATGCGCAATGCAATACTAAGGAATCACCTTAACACTGACAAACGCTAGGGCTAATAAGCAAAGGATTAGTCATCCTTGCCCACAGAGCCACCTGTTCCACTTAGCTGGTGGAGCCATGGTACAGGGACAGGTAGCTCTGGAGATGCACGATTTTCACTTATACTATGCGGTTTTCACATCTACTTTTAAACTTTCTGAACACTATAGCTTGGGTTACAGACATCTGTAAACTGGATCCATGTCATTTCACAGTATATTATCCTGGAGAAAGCTCCCATATAAAAAGTATGTGGGTGCTGGTCAGAAATTTTGAAAAAAAATCCTAAGAGGTACTAAGATCCTGTTTTGTGGGCGTGGCTCAAAACTTTTTTCATCCCCAAGAGGCACCAATTCTAAAACATCACATTAACTGAATGTGCACTCTTTCATTGATGAGTTGTGAATTCTAAGTGTAACTGAGGCAATATATCAAATGTCAGTTGATTGCCAAATATCTCTTGCCATTTTTTTCAGCTCAATACCCTAAAAGGTACCAGGAAAGCTGCGGCTGTGGACCTTTCATGGCTGAACACACTTTTTTAACCCCTAAAAGGCATGAAGTCCCTCCCCGTGTATACTATCATGCCTTGCAAGGTCATGAACTTCAATTGTCTTGGTAACTGGAAAGATCCAAATCAGATTTTCCCTTTTTAAGGATCTTAGTGACTGACTCTGATTTGGGTGTTCTGAGTAAACATCCCTCATCATGACCTAAATATCAGCCACAGCATCTGCTCCTTTATTTTCAAGAGACACAGAGACAGCAGCAAAAGGAAACGGCTGCAATTCAGGCTACCCTAACTAAACTTCATTGTTATACCTCCCAACTCAAATATATTTTCCAATTGGAGAATGTGTCAGTGTCGTGGGTCAAAAAACACAAACTCCCTAGGGAATGATAACTTGAATGTTCCACCCGTATGTGATCAGGTCAAGCACCTTGAAACTGCAGCTAATTTGTTGTGCCAGCTGGCATCAAGCAAATACTTTTTTTTGCAGTATTTCCTATTTTTGAGTTGGAAGGTATTAAAAAAAACACCTAATGACTGGCCCCATGAGAAACAGTGAGTTTTGTTTCCCCTTGACTTTGATCTTCCCCTCGGCTTCGTCTCAGGGAACACTGAGGGTCCCAGGAAACAAAACTCACTGTTTCCCTTGAGGCCAGTCATCAAGTGCTTGTTGTTGTATGATTAGGAAGTTACATGCGTTTCTGTTAATGTAATACCTGTGTTTATTGCCTTCAGCCTCTCAAGCCTTTCTGTCATCAGTGGGTACAAGTAGGATTCGATGTCATTTCCTTCCTCAGTGAAACAGTGCTTTCCCTTCTTTCCAAGCAACCTACGTCGAATTCGGTTGAGCTCTAGCTTTTTGGAGAACATATCAATGCCGCCTTGAAGCATCCTGGGCTCACACTTTGCAGCGGTCAAGTCTGCCTTGTAAACTACATCATGGTAGAACTTTCCATTGACTTGCTTGTAACAAAGATAGCTCATTCTCAAAATGCAAAGCTTGAGGATAAAATCTAAAATTGCATGGAGTTTAACCAGCCTTGGGGTAGCATAAGCTATCCTAAATGTCGTGTACAACCATGTCGGTGCCATGAACGCATTGATGGCCATATAATCCAGCCGTTGGATTTTGGCGAGCTCGTTACCAATGCAAAAAGCTATCATATCATCTGTGGGTAACAAAGTCTCTTTAATCATAATACCCAGTTCCGAGTCCCACTTGATATCTCTTCCTTGGAAAGTTATTCCACACTTTTCTACGTCCTCGTGATTCTCAAAAATGTACCACTTTGGGAGGCTCACAACTGCTCCGTTTGGAAAAGATGGAGAACCCGCCGAAATCGGGTGCACTCCTTGATTTATGAACAAAGTGATTTTGTCGTTGTTTTTGTAGCCAAACTTCGTCAGGACCTCATTAAACTGTGTTTTACAGCGTTCGGGAATTTTCACGTAGCTTCTATCATCTCCTTCCCTCAAAGCCACGATGGGTTTGCACACTTGATTAGGGAACACATTGGCCGCATTCTTGTAAACAAAAAGTCCACCAATACCTAAACCCACGGATATGGCAATGAGCTGGTTGGCAACTTTGGTAAGTGCTTCAGGTAAGCTGCCCATGCCTGCCAAGAGATTTACTTCTAGGACAGTACCACATGCCACGAAAAAAATCAAAATGGCGAGCTTCGCAAAGATTGGCCGAGGGGAACCTGGGTTAATCACATCCTCGTCCCAGGCTTTTAGATAGCGAGCTTGCCCGATGAGAACCTGAGTGCCAATTAGCAATTAGACCCGCAACCCGCAAGGGCTACGGGTCAATAGTCCATGAGGCGAAGCCGAATGGGCTATTGACCCATGGCTTTTGAGGGCGAAGGGTCTAATTGTTTTAGTATCACCCAACTAGTCGGACAGAAAAGGTAATAATAAAGTTAGCAAATGCAAGTTGAAGAAATAGTTATTTGGGAATAAAACAAAAGAAAGTGCCAAGCTTGATTGCACCAATTTCGCTACTCGAGGACTATTACTAATAGTCCTCTAGTAGCGTAGCCAATTAAAATGCAGGATTTGCATTAGTCCACTAGTTGGGTGATACTAATTCTGGGTTATTGTGGGACAGTAAATTGCAGACTGCAGACTGCAGGCTTTTTAAGTGTATATTGTAATATTTCTGTTATTGAGTGATTACCATAAACAAGATTGTTTGGGCTACTCACAGTGAAAGTCTACACATTATCACCTTGGTAAGACTGAATGTCACTTGCTCTCAATAATAGAAATGGTAACCTGATTGAGTTAAAAATTCTACAGTCTGCAGTCTGCATTTTACCCCTGGTCTGCAGTCTGCATTTTACCCCTGGCCTGCAGTCTACATTGTGCAGTCTGTACTTTACACTGACCACTTGCAGTAAACTTGTTTGGTAATCAAAAGACCCTGAAAAAACTGACGACAATAAATTCAAATCTCTACCACTATCATGGCTAACAGTAAATGCCCCAATTTTCATTTATTTCTAATCCCACATTTGCTCTTGATTGCATTATGACTAAAATTTATTTATTTATTTATTTATTGTACTTTCACTTCAGTCAGTATTCACCATCACTTTTCATTCTTCTCAAAATAATTGCCCTTCCTCTTTAGCTTTTCCTCCTGTAAGCATGATCATTCATCTGTAATCAGGTGATCAAGTTTGACTACTGATTTGGATCACACCATCACATGGGCTGTAAGTATTCATGCTGTGGAAAAGGCATTGTTTCCACTGCAGAATGCTGTCTACCAAATGCAGAATGCCAATCTCCAAATGCACCGTTTGCTGGTCATTAGTCCCACTCATGTTTGCTTGCGGTTAGCATTATAGCTATTATGTAACTTTAAAGGACAGCATTATAGTGTATTTGGCCCTTTTCAACAAACAGACGCTAACCACACACAAACACGAGTGTAACTTAATGCAAGCAAACAGTGCCTTGGGCGTTCTGCAAAATACCCTGGCAAAATACTCTGCCAATCATTATTCATTGGTAACAATACTAATTTGCAGTATTGCTGTTTTCTGGCTCTTCTATCAAACTTGAATCTGACAGAGTGTCAAAGATGGTTTTCACTTTGTGTAGCCTCTCAGTCAACTGTGGATGTCTGGATATTGCTGTGCGTTGCAGGTCATTTCCTTCCTCTGAGTAAATCTGTTTTCCTCGTTCTCCAAGCAGTGCACGTTGGATGACGTTTCGTTTCAGTGTTGTTGTACACCAATCTACACCACCTTTTGCCATGTGTGGATCACACTTAGCAGAAATTTCATCAGCATTGAATTCAGCAAGATGAGTCAACTTTCGCTCAACAATTCTGTAAGCTTGATAATTCAATCCAAAGATGCAAAGTTTCAGTAGAGCATCCAACACAACATGCACTTTGAAAATTCTTCCCGTACATTTTGCAACTCTGTATGTCAAGTACAGCCATAATGGTGGGACACACGTGAAAAACAGCTTGAAATTTAAATGCTGATCAATATGAGCCAGCTCATGGCCAATAGTGAAAGCGATCATTTCCTGAGTTGGAATAAAACTTTCAGTCACAGTCACACCAACTTCTGAATCCCAGCTCACATCTCTGCCAAATCTAAGTCCCGAATTTTCAACATCCTTTTTAGTTTGATATAGATACCACCTTGGCAACCCAATAACGGCACCACCCGGAAGTATATTTGAACCGGCCGACACTGCATAGAAATGCCGATTGACAAACAAGCTCACTTTGTCTGCGTTCTTCAAACCAAATTTCACGGCCACCTCGGTAAATTGTTCACGACAGCGATCAGGAACTTCGACTAAGGTTCCGCTTTCGTCTTTGAGACCATTAAAGTCTTTGCAAATTTGCGGAAACAATTCGCCTGAGGCCCTGACGAGGAACAGCCCTCCTATCCCAAGACGAACGAAACCCCGAATTATCCTTTCGAAAGCGGCCATCTTGGATTTGGAAAAATAGCGGAGACCTGGAAACGAGATAAGGTCCCTGTCCAAAATGACTGTATGTTGAGGCCAAAATGTCATCAAACGTGTTTGTTCATGTTTCATTGCACCTTTCCCTCATTCCACTTCAGTGCGTACGAACAATAGTACCAGGGTGAGGTTGTGGGGTACAATTTCCTACATTTGCTGTATTTTTGTCAACCCTGACCTCAATTCGGCACCACTGGCTTTGGAAAGGTCTATGCTGAAATATGCAGGATAGAATAACATTGAACAAATGAGAAACCAGTGTCAGAGATGTCAACAACCTAAAAGAAATAACGTCATACCAGGAGGTCATCCCACGTCTTAATTTCAATATGTCATAACTATTTTAGTGTGGCTGTGATGCTTTGGGGGAATAAAATAAAAGAAATCATACTGCCATCAAGAAGTGAACCAATAATTTGCATAATCTGTATTTATGGCCAAAGTCTGTGGACCAAATATCAAATTTTGCCTATTTTGTGTGAAGGCACTCTCTTGATGTTTGAAAAAAGCTAAGAAAATAGAAGGAGGAGATCTGGAAATTTTCAGATTAACTCAGTAAACATCTAGCCTGGAATGTCAGTTAACTCCTGCCCTTTTCAGCCTGATCCTCAGGCAATTAGGTTGAGGGCAGGAGATGAATAACAATTCAGGATAAGTAAATGTTCTAAATTACCCACAAAAGTATCCTAAATGTGACAGTGGAGTGAAACAAAATACATTTTCTCTGTATTTAAGGAGTAAATCGAGAGATCTGGTTTGGAACCAGGAGAGTTGGTATGATACAAAGCGTGATTGATAATATTTGAAAAGAAAATATTCAAGAGTCAGCAATAACAGAATTTTATCAGAATTTTATTTCACGCCCATCAAGCAAACACAATACCTTTATTTGCACAAAACTATTAAACTGGAGAAGTCAAAATTTTATAGGCAAAATTGTTTAGCAAATGTACTATTCTTCTTCTGAATGTAAGAGACATTTGAAAAAACCTTTCAACTGAGGATATTTAACTGATGCTCTTGCACACCTTAACTAGTACAACATGGAAAACCACCATATTGCACTGGATGAAAATTAGATTTCTCAATCAAGATAATCTCTTTTTTCTGCTATTAAATAAGTTATTTTTGGCAGAAGAAAAATGTATTGTTGACTATTGCCGCCCTTTCCAAGATAAAGATGTTGACTCACAAGCTATTGAAAAAAATCAATCTATCGAAGGAAAAAAGAATTCAAGGATGGTTATTCATGGAAGACTGCTGGAAAGGACAATTCATGAGTCCAGCCACTATGACATTGCAGTTTCCCCATCATGAAGGACTCTATTTCCTGCAAAGGAATTAAAAGAAAAACAAAATTGAGCACAAAGATCACCAATACATGATGCTACCTCATATACCATTATTTGCAACTTACAACCACAGTTTAACATCTACAAAAAATGTCACTATTTCCCCTTTGCAAAAAAGGATGATTGATCTGTGTAACATTGGCAGCAGATCTATAATGGTGATATGCACAGTTTCCCTATGGTTTCTTGGTTGTGAATCTGGAGCACACTGACTCCAAGTTAAGTAAATTGTCAGTACATGATTCTCACATTGAATCTGCAAAGTTAGTCAGAGGGTATGGGTTAGGCATAGAGAGACAAATCTGTTTATGCAGGCAAATGTCTAGAGATGCCAAGTATGACATATTTTTAGCCCACCTTCATTCCACACTCTTGCCTTTTCAATTGAGAAAGGACCTATCTCTATTAACACCCCTCTCCCTAAACATGTCTCAATCTGTTATTGGGGTATGAAGGTGGTTGTCAAAGTCAATTTCCATCTCATAAATATGTGACTGCATGTTTTTAAATAGACTATTGTTTTGTATTTCCTAGAAAGTTACAGCTGGACCTCCTGTAAGCAGACACCCATGCACGAGGTGTAAAAATGTGTCTACGCATGTAGTGAGCACAGTTGTCCATACATAGGCTATCAGGGGTTTCACTGAGGGCCAGGCACTGGGAAAATTGACCGGCTGTGAGGACAATTTTGTCCACCTGGTTTGACCATTTAGAGGAACTTTTTTCATAAAAAGAACTTACATTAAAAAAAGTTTTGCCCACCTGTTAAATATGGTTGTCCTCCCGCTGAAAACATTAATGAAACGCCTACAGGGGGCTGCATGCTCCATAACACATAGAAGCACCATATTTAAGAAATAGAAAACATGTACCGTGTTTCTATCAAGTTATAGAAACACAAGTGGAAGTATGGGAGAATGAGAAATGCTGTGCGAACAGGAGCCGCCGGCAAATGTTTCCACAGCTTTTTCGAGTTTGCCCAAACTTTCATGAGTGTTTCTATAACTTGATAGAAACACAGAGAACGTGTTTTCTATTTCGTTTAGAAAACACCGCAAAAACAGCTTGTTTACTTGGATCATCAAAATGTAAATTCGCTTTGCTCGCACCATCATAATGTCAACAGCTCATGCTACTCCTACGTTTCCATTGAAATATAGAAACACGATTTTTAAACAATCAGCATGCGTATTTTCTTAGGACTGTTTTCTAATTCATAATGTGTTTCTGTGTGTGCCTATGGGAGAATTGTATTAGCACCAATGCAACCGCACTAACATGCACCTTTCATTGTTTTGTCTACTATCACTTCCAGTTTCCTCAGTCTGTCCAATAGCTTTGGATGAGTGTAGCCTTGGCCTGATGATTGCACTCTAGAAGTACCTCTCTCATGTATGTATCTCATAAAAGAGTTAAACCTCATTGTCTTCAACATCCAATCCACACCACCGACAGCCATGTCTGGGTCAATTCTCGCAGACATTTCGTCTGCTTTGAATTCTTGATAATGGTTAAGATAACGCTGTGCTCTCCAGTAACAAAAATAACTGGTCAAACAAAACCCGACTTTTAAAATGCCATCCACAATGACTGGAGCTTTAGGTACCAGTCTTCTAGTTCTGCTTGCTACTTCAAATGTTATATACAGCCATGAAGGTGCTAAAAAGACTTGAGAGGCCAAATCAATCCTCTTGATGTGACTCAGTTCATGGCCTATAAGGAATGCTATACTATCATCCGACAAAAGTAGTGTGTCTTTGAATTTACTGCCTATCTTGCCTCGTAAGTAGAAAGGGACTTCTCCGTCTTTATGTCGGACTTGCTGGAATCTTGCAATGTCTTCCTCTTGTTTGAAAAAGAAAGTCAAAGGAACTCCTATGACGGCGCCATTTGGAAGCCACGTGGCTCCAGCTGACATGGGAAAGAGAGATTTGCAGACGAAGAAGGCGATTTTCTCTTGATTATCGTTAATTCCAAGTTTAGGAGCTATTCTTGCGAGTTGCTCCTTACATCTTGCAGGGACTTCTACCTCGGTACTGCCAACTTTCAGTTCCATCACTCTTTTAACGTACTCATGTGGAAAAACATGTGGTACTGCCTTCAAACAAAACAAAGTTCCCGCTGTCACGCCAACAGCAACTCGAAGAAAAATAGAAGACATTTTCGAAGAACAGACGCAAATTGCGGCAAAGAAAATGGCGGAGTTTTACCGTTTGATCCGATAGGCAATGGGAACGAGATTAGAGCCCAATCTAACTCCGATACTTCCGGCCGAGTTCACCGCAAATTTAATTAGGAGAAAATTCAATTTGAAGGAATTGAATTTGATTGTGTTTTTGATGTTATCGCCTTACGTGGCGTGAAGCAATTTTTATCATGTTTCTGACAGTGATATGCACATTTGTTGCTGCTCCATTGTTGATTGCCATTATTTATTGGTAAGTATTCATCAGAGTCTTTGTTCAGCATGATTGCCACTCTAATCTTAAGGGCTGCTCTGTTAGTGGTGTGTGAGGGAGGGCAGAATATCTGAGGGGCGAAAAATTTGCAGTATTTCAGTTTTCAATTTTTTTATTGAATGTCTGGGAGTTGGAAGAACAGGATATGGGAAGTGGGAGAGAGAATACAAAAAAGGAGGCAATATTCCTGGAGCGCTCCCGTTCTTAAGGTTTCAAAATCAGTGGCAGATCTAGGGGAGGGGCCCGGGGGGATAAAAAAAGGAGAAATCACAGAAGGAAGAAAAGCTGGCAAGGCAAGCAAAACAAACAGAAAGCTAATGATCTTCAAAGAATCCTATTAAAAATGCCTTTATCATATATCACATATATATCTTCAGGCTTGTACAGAATGGAAAACCTTGGGACATGGCAAGTTTCTTTCAAACACCTCCTTTACAACTTGAACTGGCACTAAGGCAGTATGATGACTTCTTAGTCCTTATTCTCTTCCATCATCAAACAATCTTAAGTGCTGTCAAGTGTTTTGGTGAAGACACTGAAAGTGTGCTTATTGGAAGTGCATTTGAAGGTTGCTTTCTTCCAAAGAATTTCAACAATGGCAAAGGGTATGGAGTTGAATTTGACTTCTTTGTTCGTCTACCATCACCCATGGCTTGGGAGTCCCCAGGAGCTCTTCAGTATATGCCGCTTGATGAACAACCGCATCAAGTGCTTGTGAAGCTTTCAAGCCCATCAACCTTAGAGTCCGAGTACATTGGTATTAAAAACAAAGTGCCAAATTTAAGTGATAGCTTTCTAAAAAAGTGTGAAGATGGATTTTATTTGAAGAGAAACTTTATGGAAGCCATGGAGGAGAAAATCCAGAATTCTCTGAAGAAGGTTCTTGTGCAAAAGCCGGGTGGTATGGAAATGGTGTCTAGGTGTGATGCAGAAAAAAACAGTGAAGGACTTCAGGCATCCATTGATGTGTCATTTTTAAAGCCTATCACTGAACACTTGGGTATGTTGCCACTAGATCCCGACTCATGGTCAGGAGATGCAATGACAAATGCTCAAATGCTGTGGGTTAATCTTACAAACTGGAGTTCACCATCTTGGCCCTCCAGGATTTTCAAAGTTCATCTTGTTTTGGAATGTGACTGGCCTGCCGATGCCAAGATGAACTGGCTCCAAAGACAGCGATACTGGCCAAGTGAGAAAACTGTACAGGATGTTGCAGAAGCCCCTTGCTATCTTCATCCTCTGTGGGATGAGGAAGAACCGATAGATGAGAGTGTAATGACATTTCAAATGACCTTTGGGCTGGCAGAATATTTACTTTTCATGGAAACTGGACCAAAAGAGAGGCAATGTATAGTAGTTCTAAAAGCTATCAAGGAAAAGTATTTTCACAAATCTCAAATCTTGTCCTCTTTTGTAATCAAGATGGTATTTTTCTGGCATTTAGAATCAACTCCTTTATCCGAGAGACAAGATATGGGTAGAGGAGAACTGCTTGTTTGCCTGCTGGACAAACTTGTTAGTTTCTTGAATGACAACAATTTGCCTCACTTTTTTCTCCCAATTGTTAATCTGCTGCAGCGTTTTGATCCAGATGACATCAGTAGTACTTGTAGACAGGTGAAAAAAGTAAAAAGAAACATGTTGGCTTATCTTCCCTCTGAGTTGTTTCAAGTTAAATGCTCAAAAACAATTGATGATGATTTTGTTCAAACAGTGCTGCAGTTTGTTTAAAAGTAATGAAAGTTGTTATAATTTATAGCACTTATAATTTACAGGAAACAATAAAATATTCATCAATAGCTGTTCTGTAATGTGCTTTCTAATAAATGAATGTGTAAAAGAAGGTATGTGGTAAAAATATAAAATACAGTAACTCTAATTTTCTTAGCTCCAATGATGACTGTAAATAAACCATACAATTTTCTCCATTGTTTGTCACTTAGTGTGTCTTTTGTACTCCACCTCAAAATAAGATGCTATTTTTACATGATGTAGAAAAATTAAGTACTTAAAACATGCTTGATTTCCTATTTTTATCCCTTTACATTTTAATTTACACATTACTTTCATGAAAACTGCCTACAAATGGGTCAACATTCAGTTATACCTTAAAGTCACCGCAGTTTTGTCACAAATAGTTTTTGTTATCAATTGCAGTCAGGTGCACAGAAGGCAATGATGCATCCACTTTTGCAAATATGCAATAATATTATAATAATTTCTGTTGCACAGTTTCACACATGGTTTGATATTCTGCAGACTACAAAAAGGGCCCTCCTTTGCCTTAATTTGTCAAAAACTATTGATGTGAAAATAAAGTAGAGGAATAAGAGCGCTTCTTACCTGACAAGCTAATGGAAAGGGAGTCTACCTGCAGTCCAGATATTGAGGTTCAGGCAGTTACACATCACTAATAATTTTTAGAACCATTGCAATAAGCTGTACACTGGGGTGATTTTCTGCACCTTTTTGTCAGTGACGAAAATCAGTGAGCATCATCAGGTTCCACACAAGCTAAAAAAATTGTTTTAAATAATTAATATATTCTTCAATTTACACCAACCAACATTTTATTATCCTAATATATGCAGATTTTTTTAATACCAATAATTAAAATTATTAATTATTTATAATTATTCATAAAGATCATAAATCTTGTTTATAATATAATTTATTATAATTTATTATGATATATAATGATAACTGCCTTTTTTTGATGAGCTCACTAGCATTTGAATATTTTTCAGGCTTTTCAACCAACAAAGGACTTCAAAACATCTACAGCTGGAGAAGGCTCTGTTCAAGTATGACAACTTCCTGCTGTTGAACATGGCTCAACACAAGTTAATCTTTGATGCAATAAAGGTTCAGCGGATATTGAACCAACTCCACAGATGTGTTCTCCCAGTGGGAAGCATGTTTGAAGGCTGTCACATAGCTGAGTGCCCAAGTGATGGACACATATCACAGGAAATGGATTTCATGCTTATTTTGCCAGATGTCACTGCTAGTGAAAGAGATACTGAAGCATTACAGTTTGTTTCTATAGAAGGTCCAAATCCAGGGTATGTGAATCTGAAAGTGCTGGATGCTACACAGATAACATTACAGGACATCCCAGTGTTGGAGGAACTACTTGACCCACTGGCGATGCTTTATGAAATTCATAATGAAGAACTGTTCCTTTCGCATAAATTTGTCAGGATGTTTGAGCGACGAGTAGAGTATGCAGTGTCACATGTGATGGGAACAAAATTTACAAGCTCCAGAGGTCTTGAGCTTGGAATGAAGAGGAAAAATGTCCATGATTTTTATCCAGTTATGACCATTTTCTTTAAAGAGCCCATTCACTGTCTCATTTGGCCTGATTCCACAGCATGGCCTGATTCTGCATTAGGAGCACTCTTTGACACACTGTCAGTCATCCAGGGTTCACAAAGTACAACTGCTTGGCAGAATCAAATTATAGACATAGCACCTGCCATACTGTGTGATGTCCCTACAGAAATCAAAGCTGCATGGCTCCTAAGAAAAAGACATTGGCCTAATCAAAAGCTTGTAGAGAAGATCTCAAGTCTTCAATGCTACTTGCTGGCAAAGCCACATCCATTCACCACAAACAAGCTGTTAGAGTGGCGATTCAGCTTCAGTTCTGCAGAACTGCTCCTCAGTTCTGCCGTTAAACCATGGCAGAAGCAAAGTTTAATGGTACTTAAAGCACTGCGAAGAAAATACTTGCAAGAACCAAAAGTTGTTGCCTCTTATCATTTGAAAACTGTTCTTTTTTGGGTGCTAGAGTCAATGCCTGATCAAACACAAGAATCTTGCTCTCGATGTACCTTGTTAAAAAGGCTTCTTGATGAACTAATATCCTGTTTGAAAGCCAAACATTTACCTCACTTTTTTATCCCAGAAAATAATATGTTTCGCCATTATGAAGACAAAGATCTCCTTACAGTCCAGTCCAGAGTCCAAGATATGCGAGAAAATTTGTTGCTATATCTGACAGAAGACTTGTTTACAACTGCTGTAACCGAGGAAAGAGAAGAAAAAGAATTTGAACAAACTTATTGGGGAATTATATAATATTGTTCTTATGCAATATAGACACAAGTCATACACTTAAAACAAAATTTAAGTTACAGAAAATGACAATTTGTATCAGACAAGCAAAGTTTTGAGCCTGGAAACTAGTTCTATTTTCTTGAATATTTTGTATTTAGGAATGGGGGGAAGCATTACAAAATTATACCCCAAACTGCAATCTTTATGTGTAGTGTTAACAACCACTTATTAAGTATGTTTATGTCCATGGTTATTGTGCATCATTATTGTGCATCATTATTGCGCAAGTTACTCTTGCCACAGTGTCTCGCCATGTCATGGACTAATAAATAAGTAAAGAGCTTTACCTGCAATATGGTTGGTGGTGCCCCTTTCTCTTTTGCACCAAAAAAACTTGAATGTGATAAGTTATTGAAAAATCTTTGATGTCTTAACGTACCAGTCAAGCAAACTATAAAGACTAAATGCATATCTGAACAGTGATGAGCTAAATGTATGAAAAAGTGGGAAAGAGAAAATCCTCATGGGTGATGAGGAGAGATGGAGTGGGGTGGGGTGGGGGGCAGAGGGGTAGGAGTGTCTGCCCTAAACAATGTTCAGATGATGTTAAGCAAAGAAGATGTCGACTTGTGAGTGCCTGTTACCAGACTAATGATTGCATGAAGGAGTCAATAAAGTCATCTTGCCATACTGGTATGACAATTTTCAGAGTTCTTGCAAGTAAGTGCTTGCACAAAGTTTGCATAATTATCTCTGTAAAGTCTTCAATCCAGATTGACCTTAAGTGACACTGGTAACCCCATGTTGTCCAAGTCATGAGAAAGAAATGGAATGACCCAAACTTGACAAGAAATCCTTCAGTTGAGGACTAGACGCTGTCGCCGTCGACTTTTGTCTTTCGTCTGATAACAAAATATCTTTGAGCTTGGCTGTGCGACTTCTTCTCCTTGCTTTCGCTGACTTTGACAACAAAGGAGTGGTATCTTGTGTTGTGTTAAGGTTTTGTTTCGCTGCAGAAGACGGTCGCGAGCGTTTAGTCGGAGTTGCTTGATCACGTGTTCTGCCAGGGTAGAAGGATTGTCTTCCACAATTCTTGCAAAATACTCCGACATGGTTTAAATTGCGAGGTAGTTTTAATGCTTGCTTCTTGTTCAAATGTTTACTAGAATTGTCCTCGTTATTGCCCGTTTTCTTGTTCTTTTGCCTTCGTCGTTTTGGCTGCACCCTCACACGACAGTTGTCACCTTTAAATATAACACCACAATGCTGACAATATTTCATCCAAAATTCCTTTGCCACACCATTCATTCCGTCGTCTGTTGAAAGAACTTCGTTCACGTAAAATCGTGACAATTCCGGATTCTCCTCCGCGCATTGTAAGGCCAAACTCCATAAATGCTTCAAACGCGCTCTGTCCGGCGCCATATTGTTTCTTTCCTTTGACCGGAGAAGCCTGAATACGAGATATGTGCCGTTAAAGAGCTGGGCCGAAGATAGTCGGAATTGAACTCGTTGTCTTTCGGAACTTCCGAAGGCGTACCGCTGACCAATGAGTATGCGCATGAGATTCTGTTTCAAATTCGCGCAAACCGCGGGAAGTGAAGTGGAAAATGGCGGCGAACCTTAGCAAAGTTGCTGGAATGGGTTCGTGTATCAACGGTCACGTAATGCAAAACGATAGCGCTATGTCGGAAGAACAAATGGGACAGGAAAAAGTGGCTATTTTAGATGCTGGAGCACAATATGGAAAGGTGAGATGAATCTGCTGTTTTGTTTAAATGTAAAAAAAAAACAAGTGTATCGATCAGTCGGCTCATGTGGTTCTGTAAGCTTACGTGTACTCGTGTCGATTTCGGAAGCTTTTATAAAGGTCTCCTTCTAGAGTTTGGAAAGCTTGATACAGTGGGTTTGTGTTCTTTATGAAATGAAATCAGAAAAGAAAATCAGATCATAAACTGTGGCCGTAAATTTCGGTTTTGAAGTTGAACTTGATCATTAAATGCACATGTCTGACAGGGCAGTCATAGTCGTTGATTGAAGGTTTTTACAACGTGTAGCTAATACAAGCTTGTAGATCGTTTTAATCTGTGAAAACGTGATACAAATAATTAAAATATCAAACAATCGATGCATTAAGGATGCAAAAGCTGGTTCTCTTTTGAAAGGTACACTATGCTTGTCCAGACGTGGCAAAGTATCAAGTTTATCAATTTCCATGTCAAGTCCCGTCCTTATACATTAATTCTTTTAAGCTGTTTTGGCCGATTCGTATATCAAATTAGTCATTTGATCTTTTGAATATGTATCTGTGGGTTTGGAGGGAAGCTGACTTTTTCTTAGAGGGTAAAGAAAAATTGGGTTTTCCTTATGAGGGTGCATGCATGATACATCTGCAGTTTGTATTTTTGTTCTTTTAGGGGGTAATTTTTTTTGGTACTGCAAAGAAAAGAAACTAAAACACTGTCAGCAATTCTTGTATTTTTTTTTAGCATTCCATTTAAATAAGTGATATAATTAACATGAGGTAACCATGCAATAGATGACTGATGTTGTGCATGCATATCTTTTCATCAAGATGAGATCTGACAAAACTGATATACTACAAAGAAATGAAAAATATACTACAACTCTCATATTTGTCATATGCTTTTTTATGTTAGTGTCAAAATCCCAATATTCAAACACCTTCAAAGAAGTATCATCAGTCATTTGATGCTCATAAGTACAAAGCTGTTTTGTAAATAAACTGTATAAAAGACCAGTTTCATAAGGTACACAGCTATACATGTCTGTTGTACATAGTTTTCATCCTTACTCATTTTTCAGTAAGGATGCTCAAACCATAAACATTGGACATTTTTTGTACATGTTTTTCAGTGATTTAGAATTAAGGCTCTTCATGTTATGTCCACGATTATTATCCTTCAAATATTTCCGCTTGCACACAATTAGACTGAACGCATCTCAGGAATGAATATTCCCCTGCAAATACTGGGGAATATTCAAGTGATATTCCCCAATTTTCAAAACCGTGTGTTGCAAAAAAATAGTTGAAGGATAATAAACACAATAGCCTCCATTTGGCACAGAAATTGTTCAGATATTTGTCCGCGGACATCATCTGTTCCTCAAAGCTCACAGTTTTCCTCAAGCTACGCTCATGGAAAACTGTTCGTTTCTCTGAACAGATAATGTTCATGGAGAAATATCAGAGCATATTTCTGTGCCAAATGGAGGCTGTTGTTTATTTAGCATTTTTACACTGTAACAATGTACAATGTACAATGATAAAATGCTAAATGCTCTTGTTGATATGAAGAGCCTTCATTCCATAGTCAATAAAAATGTGTAGTTCCAGAAAATATCCATACCTCCCCCACAGAAGGGAATTTTCTTAAGTCCCCCTCCCACCCCTCTGGAAATTCTGATTGAGCTTCATACTTGTCTTTAAATTTTTTTGGTCTTACAGAACCTCCCACCCGCCAGGAAATTCTAATCCCTTCTGTAGGGGGAGGCTGGATATTTTCTGGAACTGAACAATTAAGATGGTACAAAAAATGTTGGTTGTTCACGGTTTGAGCGTCCTTGCTGTAATAAGATCAGTAAGAGAGATATCAAAAGAAAAGCAGCAACTTTTGTTTGATTATAAACTGCAACCTGCAGATCTTCTGAAAATTTTACATGACATGGTTTACAGTTCAGTCAGCGAAGGTGCATTCCCCCCCCCTCCCCTTCCTTCTCTCCTAGCAGAGCCTCAGTTATGGTACAAAAGTAATAGAGTATATATAAGGTTTATAATGTTAGTTAATATAAAGGTAAAGATACAGTCTGCATATGAGCCAAGTGGCCCATTGGGCCGTAGCTTATCCTGGTTTCTGTAGTACAAAGAAACTAGGAGTATTTCTACTCCCCCCTGGATGGGATGCTAATCCATCACAGGGTTACCCCCAGCATTAAGCTCACCAGCACCCATTTATACACCTGGGTGGGGAGAAGCACTGTGAGAGTAAAGTGTCCTGCCCAAGAACCCAACGCAATGTCCCTGGCCAGGACTCGAACCCAGACCATTCGATCTGGAGACAAGTGCAATAACCATGAGGCCACTGCACCTCTTAATATTCATTTCTGGGCGTGTTTTCTTTCACAAGGAAACTAATCCAATATTCATTACAACTTTCCCCCAGGTCATAGATCGAAGAGTACGAGAGCTGTGCGTGGAAACTGAAATACTTCCTTTAGACACATCTATATATACTATACGAGAGAGGGGCTTTAGGTAAGACTAAACTGTTATTGAGAAATTCCAAATTACTCTACTGTACTTTTGAATCCAGCTTTTGATTGAGAAAATATGGTATTTTTAATGATCAACTATGGAAATATTAATCAAATTCTTCAAATATATGAAAATTACTTTAATTATGGCAATGGTTACTCTTCTATAACTACAAAAACACAGAATTATTGCAAAGTTTAGTGTAATATGGTATTAATAATTATCATTATAATTTTGTTGATTGTTTTATTTTTGTGTTTTTGGTATCTTTCCGTCATCAAATCAGGGCCATCATTATATCTGGGGGTCCAAGTAGTGTGTATGCAGAGGATGCTCCTAAGTATGATCCTGCTATTTTTACCAGTGGAATTCCAGTTTTAGGAATATGTTATGGAATGCAGGTATTATCAATCACCTTGGATCTATAATATCCGACTAAACGTCAATCGCAAATGATTTAAAAGCTTAGGCCAATCGTTTTAACTGTTCCAAATTCGAGGTTAAATAATTATGACAAAAGATAAACTTAATTTTGTGTTGTGTACATGAATTGAATCCAGGCATTAATTTAGAATATTTGACATTGAGCAAATTATGCAATGATGGATAAGAAATAACTTTTTGTCACATTTTTTTTTGTGTCTGAAAATAAAGATGTTAAATAAAGAGTTTGGTGGAACTGTGATGAAGAAAGATATCAGAGAAGATGGACAATTCAAGGTTACCGTGGAAACATCATCAGCACTTTTCAGGTTTGTATTACCAATTCAAATCTCTGGTAATCTATTAAATATACATTATGACAGAAAATGATGTAAACTTAAGCCAGTCATTGATTGTTATAAATATTTCTTGTTTGGGTATTTTAGAGGATTACAGTCTGAGCAAGAGGTGTTGTTGACACATGGAGATTCTATTGACCGAGTTGCTAGTAACTTGAAAATTATTGCCAAGTCTGGTGACCTTGTTGCAGGTACAATAATGCTAATTTTAATTCACACAAATGTTTATTCAGTAAATTTAAAGAATTTTGATATTGTGATGTGTAACTCATAGTTTCTCTTATATGTTGTTATGAGTATTATTAATAAGGAATATTAAATGTAGAAATGACATCAACTCGGAAAAAAATCCAAAGTTCTAGATGGGACTTGAACTCACAGCCCTCTGTGATCTAAGCACTGAGCTACTGGGGACTCTATGGTGAGCAAGGGTGAAATATCTCCAGCAGCTCAGTGGTTAGAGTGTCTGGCTAGATCTCGGAGTATTGTGGGTTCAAATCCCATCTGGAACTCTGACTTTTTTGTGAGTTGATGTCAAATGTTGTTATGTTCTGCTTTTTACAGGTATTGAGGATGAATCACGCAAGTTATTTGGAGTGCAGTTTCACCCAGAAGTAGATCTAACGGAGAATGGTGTAACAATGTTGAAAAATTTTCTTTATGGGGTAAACACAAACTGTTTACAAATAGGAGTAATTGCTACATTAAATTGCTTAATACAGAGTGTCCTTTTCCCAGAAAATAATGTTCATATTTTTATTATGAAATTTAGCCCTGGGTTAATTGTTAATTAATTATTTTATTCTTGTCAAAAATTTCCTGGTCCTCTAAACAATGTAAGGTGTCAAGTCATTTTCTGGGCTTTCAAGTTTGAAGAGAAGTAATTCTGTGTGTATTGGATTTAATAAAGAAATAAATAAATGTTTTTTTTTCCATCACCAGGTTGTGGGATGTTGTGGAACATATACTGTTGAGAGCAGATTAGATACATGTATTCAACAACTTAGAAGCAAAGTTGGCAGCATGAATGTATTAGTAAGTGCAAGTCTCAACTACATATGAAAGAGACTTTGTGTCAACATATTAATGTTAAGGCCTTACATGGATGTGGAAGATCAAGATTCATTTAAACAAGGGAGACAGTTTTTAACATTGCTGAAATTCATTTCAGGTGTTAGTCAGTGGGGGAGTGGATTCAACAGTTTGTGCTGCTCTGCTTCACAAGGTAAATTACTGTATGCATGTGCAGGTTCTGCTAGGAGCACTTGATAATCTGCACTTGTCATAAGTTGACCATGAGGCCTTTGCCAAGTTACAAGCCAGAGAGCTGTGATTTCTGTTACTTAAGATAAACCCAAAAGAAGGAATTTGGCCATGTGCTGAGTTCTCAATAGTGTTGCAAAAAAATAGATGCTGAAATTGTTATATTTCTGTTGGCTATCATGGTTAAAGCATGGCTCTCCACCAATCATAGTGGTCTTAGAATCTTGTTTATTTTCAGGCCCTTCCTCATGAACAAGTTGTGGCTGTGCATGTTGATAATGGGTTCATGAGAAAGAATGAAAGTCGAGAAGTGGAGGAGTCCCTCAAAAGATTAGGACTTAGATTGAAAGGTAACTGGGGGTGATCATTACTTTATGAACACCAGGCAATGTCACAGAAACATTGCTGTGCTTTTGTGCTGCCTCACATCCATGGACATATCATTTGAACAAATAAATTAAACAAAGATTGGTTTCCCAAACTGTGGTAATGTGTGATCTTATGCAACACCATATTTTGAGGTTAATTAGTTGGAAGCTGAAATAGTGAGAACAAGAGGCTAAATACATACATCAAACAAAATGGTGGGAACTTCATTCAAAAGATCAGAGGGTGCAATAGTTCACATGGTGCTTATGTTACAGGAAGTGTATTCGAATTACGTAATGTCACAGAAGTATAGGCCCTCCTCATTTTTATTCTCTGAATGGCATCCAAGTGTAAAAGTCACACTGCTAAACTTTCCTATTCTGAAAATTTTAGAAGACAGCCAAAATAGAAAATGTTATAATCTAATCAACTGATGTCACCCCAAACTTAGACTTTCTACATTTTTGTTTCATCAACAGTTGTAAATGCTGCATTACGGTTTTACAACAGTACAACTGTAATATCTGGTAGAAAAGACCAATCAGCTGTGAAGAAACAAGTCACTAAAACCTTAAATGTGACAGCTGACCCTGAAGAAAAGAGAAGGATTATAGGAGACACTTTCATCAAGGTCAGATTTGTATGATGTGGCAATTGTTTTCTGTTCTTGTTTTCGTAGCCAGTAATTGGATTCTATTAAAATATGTGTAGGAAAGTTTTAAATTAATATTTGTGTTGTGCATGTGATTGCAGGTTGCTAACGAAGTTTGCAAGGAGTTGCATCTTGATGAGAGCAACACATACCTGGCACAAGGTACTAAGCTTTTATGAACTCACCAGAAATGATCCGTTCAACTGACCTGGTGATCACCAGAAGTGCCACTGTCATTTCATTTCCTGTCATCACATCACATCACGTAATGTCACATCACATCACATCATGTCATATCACATTACATCACCTCATATTATATCATGTCATATAAAAGCAGGCTATGTTATGTCATAGGTTATGTTGCCATGTCATATCACATAGTTTTGTTATGTTGAGTTATCTGTTATACTGTGTCATGTCATGTTTTGCTGTGATGCTGTGAAAGGGCTTTATTTTGGGGTATCAAATAATTTTTACTTGATCCTTAAGCTGTTTTAATTATTGTTGTTTTCTGATGATATTTTATTCATTTGTAGGCACCCTTCGACCTGATCTAATTGAAAGCGCTTCATCATTAGCAAGCAACAAGGCAGAGGCCATCAAGACACACCACAATGACACTGATTTTGTGCGAGCTTTAAGAGCACAAGTGAGGATCACAATAGTCAACATACCTGCAGATACACGAATATTTGCAGTGTTTGTCCATCTGATGTGTTGTTGGTGTAGATATATTTAATGTCTGTTGCCTACGCCTGTAATTTTTACATTTTTTTTATTTCTCAAGGGAAGAGTTATTGAACCATTAGCAGATTTTCACAAAGATGAAGTCAGAGCTCTTGGAAAAGAACTGGGTTTACCAGCAGACATTGTTCACAGACATCCATTCCCTGGTAGGTTTCTTTCATAATTATACTCTAGATATTTATTGGTTCATTTTTTACTGGAAGTGTTTATCAACTGGGCAAGGAACTGATAACCAATGTGTCGGCAAGATTACTGCTTGTATACACTGCATCAAAAAATTCACAATTGTTTCAATTTGCAAATGGTGGTGCATTGGCTTAGTGGTTAGTGCACAGGACTCCAGAGTGAGTGGTCTGGGTTCTACCCCTAGCTAGGATTGTTATGTTGTGTTCTTGGGAAGGATACTTACTGGAGAACAACTGTACAAAATGTGTTTTACGGGTTTTTGGGGGGTGAGTGGGTGTGGACTAACCTGGGGTAGCAACCCTTGACCATCCTAATCTCTTCATGCCACGGGAACCAGAAATATTGTACACATGACAGCAAACTGTTTTGGCCACAGGTCCCGGTCTTGCTATTCGCATCATTTGTGGCGATGAGCCTTATCAAGGAAGTGATTTTGCTGAGACAAATATCATTCTTGGACAGATCGTGGACTTTGTTACTGCAGTTAAAAAAGTAAGTTATGTGGCTGAAATTTATCTGTTTCTAGGTAAATAAGTTTACAAAGTTCGGATATGGAGGCCCGTTCTGGTCAAAATTGTAGTAATAAAATTGCCCCACAAGTCAGTTTTTTCAGTCAATGTTTTACTTTTTATGACCTTGCTGTGTATTTTCATCGGCGGTACAAATTTCTTTTTCG